TCTCAGGTTAGCAAGGTTAACTGGGTGAGGGTAGAGTTAGGAGAGGTGAACCCATCGAACGGCTGCTAATTAAGGCTATAAAGGGTTAATTTATCCAATAATATGAAAATGAGAGGTCATACCTGATTCTGACACCACTGACGATCGATGGCGGCAAGGAAGTACTCGATCAGATCCAGAGAGAAGAGGCTCTGGGTAAAGATGAGTAGCTTATCACCAATATCGCAGCAGCGGCGAATCAGCTGGAAGAGGACGTGCAACTTGCTGCCAACATCGATACGGTGATCGAACTCGTCTCGGTACAGGGCGTGCCACCAAGGTTTATCGTCCGCTGTCTTCACATCCGGCTTATCTCTATCAAGGGCCAGTTTTGCTTTGACTTTGGCTGCCCTCTCATTGACCTCTAGACGAATGTTAGGAGACATTTGAAGGGAGGAGTCACTAGAGCCGGGAACGATGGTGGGAGTGCCATCGCTCTTAGCATCATCTATCTCGTCATCGTAGCCGGCAGCATCAATACCTGCAGTGTCGTCCTCATCACTAGAAGAAAGCAGATTGACTACAGAAGAGGACTTTTTCTCGGATGACTTCTTCACAGCTTTTTTGCTCGCCTTTTTGTCATCACTTGGGTTGGAATTGGTGGCTTTCCTACAACTGCGGCGGGCAGTCGCACGGGTGGCACGAGCAGCCGGCGCCGATGAAGTTGACGAGGCCGCGGAAGCAATGTCAATTTCATCCTCGTCGTCATCGTTGGTCGATGATTGGGAGGAGGCGGCTAAATCCATCTCGCGCTCGTCATCCTCCTCCTCCTCTTCGTCTTCTTCTTCCTCTTTTGAGGAGTCGTCGGAGGAGGTGAATTCTTCTTCAGTGGTCGAATCTTGGAAAAGAAGCTGCAAAGGAGAGAGGGATGTCAGTTAGTTACCAGAGTAACATCGCACCAAACACGCACAGGCACACAGAAAAACGGTCAGTCGGGCGAAGAGGACGAGATGGTGCTATTGCTGTGCAAGCCAATACAGTCGATAAGAGGAAGGAGGGGGTCATACTTGTTGTTCTCACAGGGGATGCTTCTTAACTGTTGCCTGGAAGTGCTTTCTTCGCAATCGTTGATTAAACCGTCGCACCAAATTTAAGAGCAATTGTGGATCAAAAGGTCCCGAGGGTCTCAAAACGCCATTTATATCAAACGATTCGTTTCAGAGATTTGAGAGGCAAATATGAAAGAGGCGTGCGCTGTTCGTAAGCGCTTATATATATGGCGTAGACATACTTTTTGGCATAATGCTGTTAATAAAATTAGTAAAAACCGAATGAAACGAAGAGTGGATAAGTGGTAAAAGTGCGCAATACCTCATGAACATGGAAGAAGACCGCGTTACCTCCAGTTATAATACTGGCAAACATAGTACACAATGTTATGTATATGCAACCACTAAACTATGTGGGCTTTGGATACCGAATCGTAGCCGCCATGACATACATGACTTGGGTAGGTTATTTGTCTTGTTAAAACGGAACGCGGGAAACCAACACTACTCCAAGGTCATTAAGGTCAACGTGCAACACGTCAAAATATGCGAAAGACTGATGCTCTTTCGATAATCGGCACTAAGGTTGCAGTACTGATTATGGCGTAGTCTATTCTGAAGTCATCTCAGTCACGATAGGATGCCGGCTTTTTAACGACCCTCTTTCTGAGTGCTAACAAAAAGTATGTACTGTAAAAAGTGAGTACTTAAGCAGTATGCATTGTGATAATTGATTTTGACTGCCTTTATAAATTCAAATATACCTTATGGAAAACATAAAAGAAAAAAAAACTATTTCTTGTACTCGTTTGGTAGAAAACTACATCTTCTTTAAACTTTACTTTTAAAGAAAGGGTATCTTTCGATTTTAAAAATTTCTAAACTACCTAACTACTGACTGCCTTACTCGAATTCAAGATTTACAAACTGCGCGTTGTGTACATCCTGTTTAAGGAAAAGTACGTTTTCGCCTACAGTTTGACGAAGAGGTCACATAGTTCTGATAAAATGTCGCAACAAACGCGGAACATGTTGTATACTGAATGAACACCGCACAATCGTAAAAAAGTTCATAATTAGAAACTTTTTAAAAACTGAAAGATACTCTATCCTTAAGTATAAAGTTTAAAGAAGGCGTCATTTCCTACCAAACGAGTACAATAAATAATTTATTCGCCTACGTTTTCCATAAAATATATTTGAATTTATACAGGCAATCAAAGTCAATGATAAAAATGCATACAACTTAAGTAGCCATTCTTTACACTACACACGTTTTGTTAGCGGTCAGAAAGAAGGTCGCTAAAAAGCCGGCAGCCTATCGCGACTAAAGTGACTCCAGAATAGACTACAGGATAATAAATATTACAATCTTTCTCAATGCCGATTAGCTAAAGGGTATCAACCTTTCGCATATGTCGACATGTTACACGAATTTTAGGCCGTACTGTATATTTATCGGGCGGTAAATGCAGGACGCATTCTCAAAGAGCTACCAACTCGGTCCCTCCGCAGCCTTTGATTGTACACCTTGGATTAGAAAGTGCCAGCTGCGTTTTCTGTCCTCGCTCGGCTTACAGAGACCTGTGCGACAAGAGCAATGTTAATTTTGGTTGAGCAGTGGTGGAATTCTCCCCATGAATCGCCTGTGAAATTCTGTCTGACATAAATGCATATTGTGTCCTGCCCTTTTTTGTGTGTTCAAATCGAATTTGACATTGAAACTGCGGCACGCTTATACTGTCAAATCATTTTCCTGTACGCGTGCTGCAGACATAATTGAACACGCGTTTTCTCCTGGTCAGACTTTATATTTGGCCGACTGCGGGTGTCTAATGTTGGGGCTTGTGTCTGGTTTATTCTTAACGGTTTATTTAACAGTACCTTACGTACACGTTACAGCGGAATACTGGGTCAAAGAATACCCGGAAACAAGCAATTTGCGCAACGAAGCGTCTAGACTAGGATTGCAGTCTGCCGCTGAGATGATGGAAAAGAATCAAAGGTTACGGGGATTGCAACATCGGCTAAAAACCTCCCCTTAAATAAACGCGAACAAAAAGCAGTCACAACGGCATATAAAAAATGTGAATGACCCGCACATACCCGCCTGGCCTCCCTGTTTTCGTGCATGCGCAGGGTGTTGGGGTGGGTCCAGACACGATAGAGCGTCTGCTGGTCCTTGAACAGGGAACGACGGTCTTCCTGCAGTTCGCCGTCCTTAACACTGCCCTGACGGAAGTCCAGGAAGGCCTTGTAAAGGTCGCGTTGGACTTCACACAGGCGGATCTTGAGGACATACTCCAGCCGCGGGGGTAGGTACTTGGTCAGGCAACTGTAGTCTCTTCGCTGGAACGGAGACAGAGGGGGAGAATAAAACAAGTGTATCAAAAGACAGGACAAGTTATCAATCGTCCCGGAAACATGCGCGGCGACACAGGACACTACCTGCAGCGAAGTAGAAACGGCTTTTGCAGTTGTAAAGTGAACAACCTAGCCAGCAATAACCAGACGCCGCGAAAGAAAAGTTGAAACAGCCTACTGAGACAAGGAATCACCAGCAAGGAAAGGCTTTAGTACAGTCAACGCTTCAGCCAACTGAGTTCCGAGAACCCCGCCCGCAACCGTAAATTTAATCAAATTTGGGTCAATTTATCCATCCAGCCTACTGCAACATATGCAATCCATAAATTCTTAAAAAATAAGCGGACTGACCAAGGACGATTTCCTAAGCAATCAGTCTATAATTCACCAGACGACTAACAGGTACAATTAACTAGTAAGCGGTTTTGGCAGACTTGAATAATTCCTTCGACCCACTTGTGAAGACATGTTTTTTCCTAGAAGCAGGAACTAGATGGGGTCATATCACATCGTTACCGTCAGTATACAGTCTACCCACTCTGCAGTCCATTTCGATCATCACAGTAGGTACTTCGGGCAACTGCTAAAATAGCAATCCGGGTCGATTAGACACATCAGGAGGTCCACAGTATCGACACTCCCTTTAGAAAATAGACTGAAGAGTGGAGATTTCGAATAGGTCACGCTCTACAGACATGACTCACACGTGTGACACAAACAAGGATCACATATGTATTGGGTAGGAGACATAAGTCAGCTCCGCTCAGCTGAAGCAGGGGAGGTCTAAACGAACAAAGTTAAAACAATGTCTAAACGACTTGCTATGGTCCGCAACCTTTGAAAGGAAAATAAGCCTATTTCTACCTTGAATAAGAGAACAGGTATGGTCAGAAGGACTCCAGTCGCAAAACCTCCCGATTCCAAGTCCGGTGTTCATCATAATGGACTATGAGTACGCCCTGAAAGCGGTAAGTAACCAATACTATCTGCTTGACTCGCAAGCGTTAGGAGGCAGCCTAACCGACTCGCTCCCACGCCACATCGCCGGTCCATCCACACACAGTGCACGTGAAGACGAGCAGGCTGTTGTCGGGATTAGCACTTTCCCACGCCAGTCGGATGAGTCAGAAAACTAGTCCAGTTGCTAGCCCCTTAAGTGTACTATTTGATTGGTCCGATTGCGGGCTTATCATTGCGCGCGTGCATACGCTTGGTTTACCTTAAATACGCAGTACTAAGTACGTTAACGGACTTCCCTTCTTGCGCCTTTGCTGTTGTGTTCACCTTTGGGGATTCGAACGAGGCGTAATTAGACGGCGAACATCCAATATTGTGGCAAGATTATAGCAGCAAGGCGAGTCTATCTTCTCAGCATTCCCCGATAACTCAGGCGGTACGAAAGCAAGTGAACGGCAGTTTGAGAGAGCTTTCTCTGACATGTAAACCACAATAAGTAAAGAAAAGGTGCAGTGCATAAAGTGAACAGAATCACGATTTTTTCCACCTACTTCTTACTTTCTCACAGACGTGCATTCAAGTCAAGCTTGAAAACTTTTTCGTTACAGTAGTTAACGTCTCACGACAGTCCAACCGTCATTTCCGACAAGGTCCATTGTGTGCCATGCAACAGGGTAGGTGCAGGGACACTGCCTCTCGCATCAACAAACTGGACTCGATATCACTGCAAATTCGAGAAGACCTGGAGCGTGATCGGGCTATAGTGGCCGGTGCTACGTAAGCTCGCGCCTAGGCGTGCTACACAGCCCGAAAAAACACCTGAGGCGACCCTGTCTGTGTTAGGACGGCACAGAACAGGAGTAAACACTTTCGCCGTCCTCGGGTCAGGATAACACGCGATAGAGCCACTGCATAAAGAACCAGGTTACGCGCGACCTTCAGGGGCCGACACCACACGAGAACGCAAGGAGTTACGCGCACGCGAGACAGCCGCCGGGTTCTGTCATCCTGAGGTCATGCCTGGCAAGGGGCCACGAAAGCACGCATACACAAAGGGTAAAGCATGCGTAAGAGTGGCGTC